CCCGCCCTGCGGTACCTCCAAGACCCAAGAGATTCAGCAGACGGACGACTCCAGCGGCATCAAGTACGGCATTGATAGTACAAGACACCACCGGAGATTTTCCTGCATGCCTGGTCCGAGAGGCCAGCGAGTCTTGGGCTGACTATCGTGGGCGGCTACAGGCATTTACAGACGCCGTAGCCGCCGCCGAGGCTCAGCAGGCTGCGGCAGAGGCAGAACGTCAACGGCTGGCCAACGAAGCGACGGCCGAAGCTCAGCGGACAGCTGAGACTGACGAAGCGGCACGAAACAGACGGAATGCCGCCAGCACGGAATCCCTGATTGCTAGTGAGCATCAGTGGACAACGGTACTCCAAGACATGATCTTTGTGCCTGCGGAAACGCAGGCGGAGCCGACACAGGCGGAGGCAGAGAGAAGTTACCTGGCTACCGTGATGTTGAACGTAATGAGGGGAGTAATGTGGAACAACAAACTACTGCAAGCACACCTGCATGCGGATCGTCAGCAAAGACAGCAGTACCAACAAGACCTGGCCGCTGTAACGGCCGACGTCCACGATGCAGCAGTGTAGCAGCAGCAACAGCAACAGCTGATGAACTCTACCATCGTACGCATCAACGGCATTGAGGCCAAGGCCTCAGCAGCGCCAGGCTGCAAGACGGACGCGACGGAGCAAATCAACGAACGCATCGATCACGTCGTCACCATCATCGGTGACATAGGTGTTTTAAACGGACCGGACACGATCAGCAGCACGGTGGCCGCCCTCAAGACGGACATCACCAAGCTACAGACGAGACCGGACGCCGCTACAAAGACATTCAAGATGACGCACTTCGACATCTGCAAGTTCGACGACTACAATAAGGCGGACGCTTTGACATGGTGGCAACGTTTCCTCACGGAAGCATCATGCCGCACTGTCCCGGCGAACGACATGTTGAAGGCACTCTATTTGCAACTGATTGGAGGAGCACAGGCATGGATGAACCACCTGGCGGCCACCCACAAGTGCACCATCGCCGAACTCCACACGCACATCACGTGGAAGGAGTTCGAGCAGCTATGGTTCACCCGGTTCATGGTCCGCAACGCCGTGAAGGCGGCCATGAATGAGGTGTACACATGCTCTCAGGGGAACATGCCAACTCGAGACTGGACAACGAAGTGGCAAAAGATAGTGACCACGCCAGGATTCGATTTGAGTTTTCCAAGTCAACGATCCGAGTTCTTCTCGTGATCGTGCGCGGGATTGCGGTCGGCACTCGGTAAYGAGTACGACTATACCACATTCCAGGCCATTCTGGATCGAGCGAACTTGGTCATCCAAACGGACGACAAGGCCGCTAACGAGAGACAATCCCAGCCGCATTATGTGGCTAAGCAGGCCTATCAACGTCCGACACATAACAATGCCGTGATTTMTGAGGAAACCGACGACTACCACGCTGCAGCAGCATCCTCGAGTGATGGAGGAATTGTTGCAGCGCTCTCGCCGAAGCGTCCCAAGAGAGTTCGAAAGAACAAGGCGACACAAGAGACGGCAGCGACGGGAGCTGGGCAGCAGCCATGGACGGCATATAAGATCACCAAGGAGGTCTATGACCTACGTCAGAAGTACGGATACTGCCTTTGGTGCAACGGAGTCACCCATGTGACCGCACAATGCCCCGAAAAGGGCAAGGCACGCGTACCCCGTCCAGCAAACTCGGGAAACTGAGTTACGCAAGGAGAGG